CTCGGAGAAACTGGCGGTCTTCGCAATAGCCACGTCGATCCAGTTTTTACAATTAAGGCGCATCTAAATAGGCGAGATCCTTTTATCATTTAGCGTTAAGTCAACGTGGGATGCACCATTAAACGAACACGTACCAGTGAATGAACATTATCTGCAAAAACGAGTGAATTAAGTTAGTAAAATATGCGAATGACTGAATATTAATTTTCTTTTCGATTCCTTGGCTCATATTCGAACAGTTTTCGCGCCGCTGCACAGACGAGTATATGGGCGTTCGGGACAAAATTCTAAAAAACAACTTCTATACTAATCAATTTTCGACCTAAGACCCCTAATAGCTTTTTTAAGAAGACACTTTTTGCCATATTTTCAAATTGAAATCTGTACGTTACAAAACAGGTACAGACATTGAAAAATCTAATTTATATGTACCAAATATTTATTAATATTATATCGTTTAAAGTTCAACTTTAATGGTTTCAACACCTCTCGAGTGTCCATTCCTTAGTATGTTCACCCCATTTACACTAAATGATACTGATTTATTAACCTAGTTTACCAATTATTTTCCGGATATCTGAATATAACCTATTATTTTTGTACGTTAAAGCCCACAAAGACAAATTGCTACAATTATTCGTATTCTTGCATCGATTTGACGTTGAGAGGTTATGATTACGAGAGGGCTCTTTCCTTGACAGAAACCTGGACAAGGTTGAGACGTGTGGTATAAGGTCAGTTTCAAGGTCAAACACCAAGATTCTCTCGGTCATGCCGTCCGTCGTAAATCAAGACGTAATACTGACACATGTGTGTGTATGTATCTGGCTTAGGTGAAACGCTAGGAGAAGCGTCGGAGCATTTTCTTTTTTGCTTTCATTTTCCTGGATCGTGGTGGAATTTATGAGTTTCCGGTTGATAAGACGCGCGCAACATCCCCACGTATCGGGGAGTATTTACGAGCATAATTTACCGGCTTCGCCTGGCGATGCCACCACACCAAACGAAACGAGAAACAAGAATCGGAACGCGATTAAATTCACCGCGATTCTCCCGCGTTTTTACGGTCCGACCGGGTATGCGAGGACGCTGCTCTCCTCGATAATGGAACTGTTTATTTCCTGTGGGTAATATCCACTCTGCAAAAAATCGTACGCCTCGAATCGCGCGCGCGTAAACACAGGGTGGATCGGTAAGCCTTTGTCGGGCCCCATCTGCCTAACGACGCAGTGCACCGAGGCTGGGTCAATCGTGACCCGTGTCGAGATTATTATCACATACACTTAGCAACCAGTTTTCTTTTATAGAAAATGTATTTGAAAAATTTGAATATTTGTTATTTCATTTGGGCACATCGGTTTAAAATCAAATATAAAATTGGATCTCCGATTTTGAGTCGAACTGTAGCTCGTAAGAGGGGATCGTACTACGTAGGTCAGCTGTTTCGGTTTCACTCCCTAAGGCGCACACCGACTTCGCGGTTTTAAGAGAAATTTTTGCTTGCAAATATCGTCGCGAGCTCGTAGAAAAAAGGACCCTACTCGCACGCGAAACACATCGAACAGGTGGCAATCTAACGGTTCGTCGACACGGAATTTCTCTTGCACGTCACTGGAAGAGTGCCCTCATCGTTTCGGCCGTGATATTAGCGTTATTATACAAAGGCACCGATAAAAACACAGTCCCACTCGATTAGGAGTAACGAAGTGGAACGAAAGCACCGTAATCCAATTTTGTCGTACGAAGAATTTTGAGAAAATCAATTCGATTTTGATAAAATCGATTGTTTGGCGTTTATTAATTCGATCTTAATTGATATTCGATGGTGTACAGGGCATCTCGAAATATTGTTTCAAACATAACGATTGTTTAAAATCATATAAAAATTTATTAGCAGAAGGTATACAAGGCGTTTCAAAATAATTCTGCAGCGATGTTTTTCATTCTTTCGGAATAATTTGCTCTGACAAGGTGTCACGCGTATTTTGAAACAACCACAGTACACTTTAATTTGATTCCTCCGATAAAACAAATTAATTCTATATTTTCACTAAATTTTTCCAGAAAATCTGAAGTTTTATGATTTATATTTCGAAACAGACTGTACATTTCTCACTAGAATTAGTGATACAAATAATTTTTTAATTTTACCATTTTTCTGGCTGTAATTTCTTACCTCGGTTTCGTAGAAGAAGTGGTTGTTTCAAAACACACGTGACACCTTGTCAGAGTAAATTATTCTGAATGAACTGAGAAATTACCAGAGCATTATTTTCGAACACCCTGTTAATCCAATTTAGAATACAATCTTTAAACAATCGCTATGATCGCACTAATATTTTATACTATTATTTTGAAACACTCTCTGTACACCATCCAATATCAATTAAAATTGAATAAAAACTCGACAAAAAATCGATTTTAAAAATACTATCAGCTCACGTCTTTTTTTTAGACACCCTGTATATTCACGTGCGTGATCTCCGGCAATATCAAGATAACGTACATCCAATTTCATCAGATACCTTCTCGTATTGCTTTCGAATATGTTTATTAAGGAACTGGAGCCCCTGATACGTCGATAATAAATTCTATTTCGTGATAATTGCGTAACACTAATATTTGGGGTCTCCTATTTCGCAATAATTATAATGTATTAATTGTACGCGTCGTTCTAGCCGGATAGATTTAATGATATTTTACGATCGCGGTTAAAGTCGTGTAATTTATTATCAGGGGATACTTTTTTGCAACTCGAAATTTCGCGTTTGACATTTACCACCGCCGCCATAATAATATCGGGAAGGCTCAAAACGCCAGAGAGAGAGAGGAGCCTCTGACACCGAGAGCCAACGAAATTTATCGTCCGTTTAATATCATACAAACGCGTAAAAGTGACTACTACTCGGAACGCACAGGTTGCTTTGGCTTAGCTCGCGTTTCACGGAGCGATAAATTTCGATTTTGATTCGTTCCCCGATTAACCCCCACCGGTTAATGAGAAAAATGATTCCGGTCGATGAAAAAATCGCGGGATTAATGGGTGAACGGCGTGCAAAACCGATCCACCGCGATTTAAATGCAAATGTACCAGAATACACATAGACGACTTTCCAATTTTATTTTTCTTCTTCTTTTTTTTAATGATATTTATCACGAGCTTGCATACTTAATTAACGATGTTTTGGAAGATTGTAAATTTGTACAAAATGTGTAATAATTTTTATCGCGTTTGATCGTGAATAATGAATTTAAAGCGATTCGTATCTCATAATAATGAACAGTTTTCAGTGCCATAATCCTCAATTGCATTAGAATTGTATTTTGAAGAATTGCAAATCCATTTCAAACCTTGGTGGAACTAATTTTATTTACAATCCACCTGAGAGGCCTCTAATTATTATTTATCTGAGTACTTTGTAATTTTAATATATTTATGACTTTGAAGAATTCGTGTTTAATCTATCTGAAATGACTTATCTTCATTTATAATTATTTGAAATTTTCAACTGTTTATCTGTTTAAATTGTCCAATCATCTATCTTAGATTTAAGAAACATATTTTCATCTTTACTTGGATAGTTTAATTATTAGACTGTGGATGTGTATGCAAATTCAAACTTTACTAGATGAATTCTGGAAAACCAAACATAAACAGAAACTGACTTTCTTCATCAATAGTTCTATTACATTGAAAGTAAATTAGTACATTTACTAAACATTTATTTTATTCAGTTCTATAGATTCACTTATGCTACAAATGCATAAAATCCACAGTATATGATTATAATCTATCTATAATCTATAATCTACCTAGGTCATTAATGTACCTAAAACTTTGAACAATTTGCTGCAACGTTCTCTGAACTTCTGTATAATATACAGTGAATCAGAAGTTTGTTCACGAAGGGCTGTCACTTCTAATTGACCAAATTACTTATCAAAATGCAAATTTGTTTCAAAATTAAACAAAAATTTATCTTTTTTTGCTAAGGGGAATATTTAAATAGAAAAACTGCATAAAAGTTTTGACACCTAATTGCCATTTTAGAAGTCTGAGAACAAATATGCGAGCCACCGTACCTACAATATACTTATAATTTGTGCAATCTGTCTTTTATCCAATTTTCTATATAAATCCATTTTTAATTCATGAGACACTTGTACAATCTGACTGTAATCTGAAACATAGACTCATCCATATCCAATATCTTCCCATGCACAATTCATCCGTCACTCACACAATTATACGCCTTCAGTTCCATCAATGCAATCGCATAAAGTGCACACATTTTCACCAGAACATCCCATCCATCCTCTTCCTCATTGTATTATAATTCCAGGTTATCGACATCCCATGGAAAAAAAACAATTATGCAAAAAACTATCAATCATGCTCCAATCTGGACAGAAAAAACCCTCGTACATTCAATGACCTAGCTTTTACATCCTCTGTAAAAAAAAAAAAGCAAAGCTTATCATTCGCGTGCTCTTCAGAGAGCTCTTCGCAAACCTCGGCGAAGATTCCACCGAACAAGAATACGAAGAGCTTTAATAGCGCCCAAGGAGATACAGAGGCCGGTTCCGCGCAAACGTATACTTTTCAACGAAGACTTAATTATCGCTCGTCAAAACCGAGGTGGTCACAGTCCAGTAACGGCGAACGATTTTCCTACGTTGTTCCCTCTATTTTTCTTTCTCAAAATGAAGACTAGATTCATCGACGATTAAATATCGCAGTTTGTGAAAGGAATCACATGGAATCAGGTGGAACTGGATCGAATAATTTTTCACGATCACGTCGATACACAAGTAGAACAAATTATTATCGCGGTTCAGTAATAAGAATTCTTGTCAACAGGCAGAATGGAAGATTTGTACTAAGCCACCGGTGACCTCGCTTGATCACACGTAAACAAACACTCTGTTGGAAATTGGCTTAACGACAATTACGAATCGACACTGAATAAATGATCAAGCACACGGAAAATTCGACTCACCAAAATTTCGTGAAGAAACTACGCAGTTTCAAGCCCATTTTTTCGCCGGTATATACAACACACATCCGCTCCGTGCAGCACTTCACGCGAGAACTCGTTTGAAAACATACACTAGGGGTGCGTGCGCGCGCGGCTAGGGTCACGCATGGTGCGCCGCGACCGTTGGAAACGGTCACGTGCCAAAACACCGCAGCTGCCGCAGCAGGCGATGATGGTTTTTACGCGGGCTTGCGTGCGTGTACGGAACGCACTCTGCTATTGGCTGTTGGTTTTCGCGGCCGGTGTCCACCGCACGAATTGTATTTAACCGTGAAAAACCGTAACGTGAAAACAAACGGGGGGGAAGAGTCACGTGGTTCGTGCGCAGATACGACTTCCTGTGCGCATGCGTGTTTTTTTTGGTGGATTGAAAATTATAATTCGGAACAGAATTAATCGTTGTTTCGTAACTAAGGTACTTTCCTTTAACTGGATGTAAATATTTGATTCTTTATTATACAGGGTTTTCCATTTGAGTGTGGTCCCACGATTATCTTTTTTGATTGTAAAAAGGAAAAGAATATTTTATATGTAATTTAAATGGTATTGCATGGTCAGTATCCTGCAGGCGTTGTTCTTTTCTCCAAGTTTTCAAGGTCATCGATGTTTTTTTTTTTTCAAATAACTACAGGCCATTTGAAGGTCATATCATAGTACATATCTAAATGTATTTTTTCATGAGTTACGCGATACAATAGGAAAAAATATGAAGCATACTTTTGATATATCTGTTTCTAAAAGGTAAAATATTTTTAAACAACCTTGTATTTTTTAAATAGTGCTACTGAAATTGTAAGAAACTATGTACAAAAATGTGACCACCAGGTCTGAAAGGGTGAAAAAACAGTCATCGAGCAGAGAGAGAGCGCCTATGGAGTATGCAACCAGACTGACGCGTCTGCAAGCGTGGTTGCCGTACACCAGGCGCCATACTCCACTGTTACGCAACCTAACCTATTATACTTCGAACAACATCATTACTACGGTTTCCAATTATACAAGTGAATACTAATTAATGAAAAATCTCTTTCCTTTCGTTTACCCATGACACTCTATCAGAATTTACGACCGGATAGAGACTATAAAAATTGTTGAATCAATTGTTTAAAGAACCTTCGTAGTCAGTCAATGGTGGTAAACGCGTAACCAATATAAATCATCGGGGCGATATTTTCTCATTTCGATCGAGCCTCGTAACAGTAGTCTCTAGCAGCTCGTAAATCAGCTCCTCGGCGTGATAATTAGCCGGAATAGCGGGTCTGTTGCGATCCTAACCTCGCTAAATTACAGGGTAACGGCAAAAATCTAAATATCTCAACGGTCTAATTTGAAAGTAAATTGAGTATTACACACACGCGGTTCACGCCTTCGAATTGTGAACAGGTTGAACGTTTCGCGCGTGGAATCCGAAAGCCGACGAAAAGCCATGATAATAATACACGAACTCACGCTCGAACGGAACGGTGCTCGCTTATCCGGGGCGATCTCCGACGGAGGCATCTCGTGTTTCGGAGGAAACGACGACGTAGGAGCGATGCTTTCTAACTTTTGCCTTGTAAATCGCGCTCTATCGGGGGACGTGTGTGCGAACCGATAATATCAGGACGTCCCCGTTCGCCACAGTGAAAACGGAGCTGGGCGGTCTTGGACACCTTGACTGCTCGGAATGATCGTCGAAATGGTTCGTTGAATGTCTACTCGATGACGGGAATGGGTACTGAATCAAGATTTGAGTGTTTAAGCATTATTCGATAAATAGAACAATTGTCTGTGTGATCTGAATTCCACTCCTACTGAATTTGGAAATTGAGTGGGAGTGGATTTTCAATCATTTGAGAATTATCTACTCAGTCGATAGACAGACTACTCAAGATGAGTAACACGTAGCCAACAAAAAAGTAGTTCGGAAATTGAGTGAGAGTAGATTTTCAATCGTTTGAGAATGATCTACTCAGTTGAGTGATAGACTACTCAAGATGAGTAACATACCCAACAAGAAAGTAATTTTACTCAAAGTATTACGTATATGAGTAAAAGATTATCTACTGAATTGCAAAATTGTCAACTCGATTAGAACGTTTGTTACTCAATATGAGTAACTCTACTCAACCAGAATACAAACTACTCAATCTATCTGATCCGAATGTGACTATTACTGAGTTTGAAAATTGTTCACTTCACATTCGAGAGTTAGCTACACACAATAAGTACGATCCAATAGAAACGGAAGAGTTCAATTTCTAGTCTACGAAGATCTGCCCGAACTCCCGTCCGTTGGTCCAGAATTATCGTATTATGTAAGTGGTAGGTGGATGGATCACCTGGAGCGACTAATTACACGTAATTACAATTAATTACCGCCCATTTGCTTGCCACTCTGGCCCGGCTCTGAGAACGACACTGTTCTCAGACAATTTGTCGACTGTGCGCCGCGGCAGAGATTGCATTTTCGAGTCCCTTTCAAGAATGTCCTCATTATACACACCGTTATCTGCCGCCACTGTTCCCCCTTGTTGCTGGATGATCTCACGGAGCGTCGGCTCGCTTTAGAAAATGCAACGAATTTCGTAGAAAGTGTGGCCGTAGGAACGATTTACATGCGTGCGTTTACTTTGGCAACCGCCTCACACTTCGCCTCCTCCTACTCGTGTCCTTTCACTGTTACGATTCCACTTCTGTCAGCGTGTGCAGAGAGAACCGTGGATTTTCCTTGCGTTTCAAAAGGCTAGGTGAGTGGCTTCCGAGGAAGTTTCAGAACCTGGGACTGTGATTCGTTCAATTATAATGTTTCTTTCTTGTATGTATGTTCTTCATTCTGACATGTAGAATTGAGGAAAGCATACCTGGTGCTCTATTGTGCAAGGAATAGAATTATTCTAGCATTTCGATTGTGTCATGAAAGATTTTGTCACATAAATTGCAGTGAAATTCAGAAAATAAATTAATTTATATCATAGGCTCCCAAAGTGGGGGCTGAAAAAATCTCCTCTATCTGTTATTACTTTTTCTAATAAACATACAACACTTCTGCTTTTAATTTTCATCTTCACGACCTCTTCACCTACCAGTAGAGATTTATATAATCTCCAACAGTTTTCCTGAGAATTTCTACAGTGGAAAGAAACTGAATAAAAAACCTTTAACACAAGTCTCAGAGTCTATTTTGCAAAGTCCTTTTACATACCCAGTCCTATGTCCCCTACTCGAAGCAACCATTGGACGATCCAAAGGTGTAAAACCGACTCCCCCGTCGAGCCTCTATTTTTAAATCAATGCCAAGTCAGGGGAAAAGCGTTCGATTAGAATGATAGCCGCGTCGCGACGATCTGAATTCCGCGACGTGTCCCCCCCGCCCCCAGGCGACGTTTAACATTACCGACACGCATCCTTTTGGCACGAGGGTGCATCGGATGGCTGCCCCGCCTAGTTGCAGGGAAACAAGTCTGATGATCGGCCGGGCAAGTTTCCAATCGTTCAGCTATTCCATCCGCGGCGGTCGTCGTTTCCGTTCCCCCTGACGGGAAGTGATATGAATTCACTTGACCACCGTCGATCGACACTGGTACCACCGTGGATATTCACAGGTGTTCCGACGATATTATAATCTACTGTGGCGAACAAGACACAATTGGGTTGTGGCTGATACGGTTACTTGTACGCCTCAGTCAATTCTTTGTGTGCTATTAACCCTTTGCACTCGACTGTCGCCCTGAAAATTAGAAATTCCGAGTGCAAAGGGTTAACATGTGATACTTCTATTGTACTAATATAATGATATACTCATATACTGATATACTAATATTCTGATATACTGATATACTGATGCACTAATACCTGAATATATTGATATATTGATATATTGATATATTGATATATTGATATATTGATATATTGATATATTGATATATTGATATATTGATATATTGATATATTGATATATTGATATATTGATACCCAATATATTGATATACTGATATCCTGATATACTGGTATGTTAATACGTTGACTGGATGTACTAATATCCAGATATACCGACATATTGATATATTAATAAATTAATATACTGATATGTTGATATACTGATACATGTATTAATATGTTATACTGTAAATTCTGTATGTTTGAAACAGTCAAAGACAATACCCTAAGGGCCCCGTCCGTTTAGAAAAGAAAAAATGCGCGGAAACTAACGTATGCATTTTCCATCCATGGAGACAGTACACAGAGGTTACTGTCAATGAAATCCACGGTGAATGAAGCGATACAGCTCCCAGAGTCGGGGGCGACGACGTATCCTTGGAGGTGTCCCTCATTATCAGAAGGGGGCCCAGGTGGGGGAACGACATTCCACGTAACAGGAGGAGGAGTGGAGGGGCGGGGGGCCTCCGTCGACATAATTTCCATTCGGAATCGACGCTCGAGCCTGATCGGCCATCGGTTGGCATAGAAAGTGCTTAGGTAACCTTAACCACCGCCGGTTATCGGAGGCCCCCTGGCATGCCAACAAGAAAAGCAATCCCCCCCCCCCACTTCAGTGGCGATTTTTGCAAGCCGTGAAAATCGAAACCCAGACCAGTTCTCTCTTATCTGCTCCGCGCTTCTTGCTCTCTCTATCTCGCTCCTCCCTCGGTCATCTGCCTCGATCGCCCATTCAACTGGGCCCCCGGTGTGGAAAGACCAGTTCCATCGTGTGTCGTCCAGGCTCTTTTCAACCTGCTTCTCGACTTCGAGATAATTCCTGATGGTCACTTTGGGAACACGTATATCGCTGCTTCCCTTGCTGATAGATTCCACGCCATTGTTGGAATCACAGAACTAATGCAGACGTGTCTTTACGCGTGTTCTTGGTGTGTCCAGCCCATGGGCGTAGCCAGGGGAAGGGGTCAAATTTCATAATATTAATTAATATAATATTTGTCTCCTCTAGGGGTGAGGCAAAATCTAACCTTTCTTCTCTAGGGCAGGCCAAAGCCCATCGTTTTCCCTCTTAGGTGGGGGATAAAATTTATTTGAAGGTAAATTTCATACTGTTACTTTAAATAGACTTTAGAATTATTTTTTATTTTTCTCCTTTAGGGGGTAGACAAAATCC